GGGTGCCGGGCCGTGCGGTGTTGCCGTGCCGCGGCACCCGGCTGAGGTCCCGGGGTGACAGAGCGCGTCTTGGGAACGCAGACAGCGCGGGGTGCGGGGTCTGGGGGTAGTCATGGCTCCGGCACGCCGAGGTTGCTCTTAGTTTTACCTGGGCCACGCTTTACAGTCTCGTGCACTTACTGCTGTTTCTTTCCTGGTACACCTCATCCTGCTTCTTGTGTATCCCTCATTAAACCTGGCAGAAATCGTGCAGGTTTTGTACTTGTTTTAGATGCAGCAGCTGTAGCGTAGTAGTTGAGATGATAGAATTATAGAATAGTTTGGGTTGAAAGGGACCTTATAGATCATCTACTTCCAACCTCCCTACCACGGGCAGGGACACTTTCTTGCTAGACGAGGTTGCTCAAAGCCCCGTCCAGCCTGGCCTTGAACACTACCAGGGATGGGGCAGCCACAACTTCCTTGGGCAGCCTGTTCCAGTGCTTCACCGCTCTCACAGTGGAGAATTTCTTCCTTATATCTAGCCCTTTTTACTGTTGGAAGAGTCCCTCTTTGGCGTCCTTGTAGGCCCCCTTCAGATACTGGAAGGCTGCTATCAGGTCTCTACTCAGGCTTCTCTTCTGCGGACTGAACAGATGAGGACTTTCCACGCTCCGTTCTGCTCATCCTCTGCAGAACTGATCGTACATAGTTATGGCAGTTTTATTTCTGTAACATGAAAGAAATAAAATTTAGTTTCTACCTGGTGATGAAGTTTGTGAAATGGCCACCCTTTGTCAGAAAGAGCAGGAGTAAAACTTGGCATCTCGGATGCACTAAATCAAACTGTTTTGAGCAGAATAATAGACCTGTGTTATTTTAAATTGTCTATGCTTCATTATTGGATTGAATTAGAGGTAGGTGGCTATTTTGTGCAAAGCAGCATCACAACTAATTTTTTATAGTTATTTAATTGTGGTTACATATTTGTAACATGGAAAAATATTGAAGTTACCCACTGGGACAGTAGCTGAATATATCTTAATTTTCCAAGTGGGATTTGTGTGTAAGCTGTTAAATTTTCTGTCATGTTACAGAGTGATACACAACTCTTTCATCAGAGATTTTAGAGGTTCTGATATGCATCAAATAGTCTTTGGAAACTGGCAGACTCAACTAAGCATCAATTCTTAATGAGCAATCTGTCGTCAGTTACTCTGCTGATTTTTCAAGCTTCTTGCATAAAACGGAATGAAAGAGACGAAACCCAGAAGTACGGTGTCAAAATGGGCTTTATTCATTGTAAAAAGTGCATTGCAGGCAGATACAGAGAGACCCTTGCTCGAAGCTTGTGTGATCTAAACACTCCTGTCTGGGAAACCAGATAGCATTAGCAGAGGACCAAGCTCATGAAACTAATGAGTCTCATTTCAGAGCCAGGGCTGGCTTGCAGGTGATTGAACATGAAGACCACTAGGTTGCCTCGAGTGTCTCCATGTATTTGTGTCCTTTTTTATACTACTTACGTTAGAGTTTAGTGGTAAGAGGTTGATATTGTGGGGTTCATTTATTTTGCCTTGTAGTGAGTGGTTGGTTGTTCTTGGTTTTGGGGCATTTTTTTTTTTTTTAATAACAGTTGCAAGATATCCATAGCTTCCAGTTTGTTGTGTACATTCATATCTTCCCTTGCAAAGGGAAGTTTCAGGCTTCATTAACTTAGAGTTTGTTGGGTGGTCATACTAATGATCCCACAGAGCAGTTTCAAAGTGGTAGGAACAGCAGTAATCTCAGTGTGAAAGAAAATTCTCCACAACAGGAAAATTGAAGAGAACTTCTGAATTCAGCTTACCTTGAATTACACTACATACTATGGGTTTCTAATGTGTGTGTTACTCTTATTGCAGTTCCAAGAAACTATGACCCTGCATTGCACCCTTTTGAGGTTCCACGAGAGTACGTAAGAGCTCTGAATGCAACAAAGCTAGAACGTGTGTTTGCAAAACCCTTTATTGGCTCACTTGATGGCCACAGAGATGGAGTTAACTGCATGGCCAAACATCCAAAGAGTTTGTCTACAGTGCTGTCTGGAGCTTGTGATGGAGAGGTAAGCTGTAGTTACAAACCACAGCAAGTGCTTTCACTTCTGTGCCTTTGTTTCAATTTGTTGTTTTCAGATGCCCTATGCTTACCTTTTGTGTCTTTGTTCAGCAAGATACCCTGTGTTCTCTCAGAAGGTGTAGCTTACCCAGTTTGGGGCAGTGTTTCTCAAACTGCAGGTTGTAATCTGCCCAGTGCACAAAGGCAGCAGCTTTCAATTGTTCACTTGTGAGCAGAGGGTGTGACAATCAGCTCCTCAGGATGGAGCAGTGAATGTCAATATTTACAGTCTGTAGTGACTGCTTTTTGCTGCCCAGGTGATGCTCTTTCCCTTGGAGAAGTTAAACTGCTTTGGATTGAGAAGATTGTATGAAGTCAGATGAGTTAGGGGAAAGGAGCACAAAACTAAAAACTTTCTGGAATAATAATTTGTGATATTGTCTGTAAAATGCTAACCCTTTATTTGATTATTTTACATAAATGTTACAAATAGCAGGCAAGGGCACTTCAGTTGGAGTCAGTTGCAGAAAAAAATTGCCTGTCTTTTATGTCTTCTCTGTCCTCTCACTAATGTTGTTCATTTGATAGTACTTGTATATTTTAAAGGTGTCTTCTGGGTAGCTGGTTGCTTTGTTCTTTTAATGAAAGGTGCATGTATCATGCAGTGTAGTGTAAGGGAGATCAACCTTTTCAGAGAGGAGGGGAATAAATTTAGTGAAATGTTGGGTAGATTTATTATCCACTGATAAGAGTGAGTAAGGTACTGGGTACTATAAATACAAATAGAAAAACTGTCCTCCATTTGTTTTCAAAGCATTTGGGTCCATTTGAAAAATGGAAACCTCTGTGAGAGGTGGGAATCTGTATAAAAGGTAGCACAGCCATTGGACTGAAAACATTCTGTTAGTTGCAAAGGCTATTTCCTTGTGCTTTTCTTTTAAAGGGATATTTTTTACTAGAATTATGACTGCTGCTATCTTTTAGCAAGAAAGCTAGCTCAAAAATAGGAGAATGTAAACTTACAGTAAGTATAGAGCTTTGGAGGGGATAAGAAGGAAAGAGCCACACTTGTACATTTTTTTTCAAGAAGAAAATAATTGAGTAGTTTTAACATTATAAAATCTGTCCAGTGTCCAAGCCAGCCATGCCATTTTATGACAACATGTGTGATCTCTTGTACTTGAATTATGAGTTGCAGTTGTGGGCTGCAGAAAACTTAAGTAACAACAGAATATTTTTCTGGTTTTTACAGGTTAAAATTTGGAATCTGACCAAGCGACAGTGTATTCGTACTATACAAGCCCATGAAGGCTTTGTTCGAGGCATATGTGCTCGTTTCTGTGGTACATCATTCTTTACTGTAAGTATAATGTGTCTCCTTAGTACAGTGTGGCAGTACAGAGTGCCTGTTCACCATCTGGTTTCCAGTGAGCAACTTACTCTCTGCCATACAATATTTAAATACTGTATGAATACGTTTATTAAATTTGTCTGAGAACCTGACAGTTCTATTTCCTTGTGAAAATTTTGTTGCTGCTGTGATATGGGTGTTATTCAAGACTATGGAAGGCATAAACACCAGAAAATTGGTAATGGATGGTCATATAATTAAACCTTGAGTAAAGTAGTTTTCATTAATGTAGGACATAGACTATATTCATTGAAAGATGTAAAAAACTAACCATTTACATATACTATGATTAAAGATAAGCTGAGTTAGTCAAGATGTCCCATGTTACTTAACTTTGTTATCAACGACAGCTGATTCACTTGCATGTAAACCATCTGGAAACAGCATGTCTTCCTATTTGCATTAGAAGCAATTAAAGATGATACAATAAAAAGAATTGTGTTTGAAGACTAGAGTGTCCTGAGGTTTTGCTTCTTTTGAGTTGGGCATAGAAGAGCTGTTTTCACTACTACGTATTTATCTTTTCTGAAGTATGTATCAGATCATGAGAACAGAAGTTAGGATGTAAGGGAAGTTGCAGCAAAAAATTCTAAGTGACTCCAAATTAGAATTCTCTTTTGGCAGTCCCTCTGCTTGAAAATTGAGAGAGGGAAAGAAGAAACAGTAGTAGTGCTGTCAGGAAAGGAAGTTAAACTTGTACGACTAACATTTTTACTTGGAGAATTTGCCTGATCCAGGTCACTGCACAGTTATGCAAAAACTTGTGCTGGCATAGTGCAAGACATAGCATGGCATTGGGAACAGGCAACTGGAGCAGCTGAGGTCGAGAGTACCTTTTAATTGTTTACATGCTCATCAAAATGACATCCAGAAGATAATTTGCAGTTTAAGGTGCCATTTGATTAAAAATGACATAATGTAGCCTGAAAAAATGGTCATCGTTCCAGCTCACCTTTTTCTGTTCAACCCTGGAAGTATCTCTTGGAAACTGGAAAACATTTGTAGATTGAGATAAAGACAGTTGAATAGGTAAAGGAAACATAGTGGTGGGGGCAACAGTGACAAACAGGAAATCAGTCACCTCCTTTCACAAGCAGACAGTCTCTGAGCAGCAGCCACTTTGAAAGCCAGCCCCTGCCTCACTTTCTTCTACTATCTCAGTTTCTATTGCTGAATATGATGTCCATGGTCTGGAATACTCCTTTGGCCACTTCAGGTTATCTGTCATGTCTGCATCCCCTCCCAGTCTGTTGTCCACACCTAGCCTATTTCTTGATGGTGGAGGTAGGGATGATGACTTACAGACTGTGGGAAGCCTTGACACCCTCCAGGTACTGTTCAGCAGTAGCCGAGATTAGTGCTGTATCAGCAGTGTTTTAGCCACAAATCCAAAACACAGAGCCGTATGGGCTGCTAGGAGGAATGTTAACTCCATTCCAGCCAGCTGATGTACGTGCGCCTTCTCAGTTTCTAGCAAAGTAGTATATAACAAGGACTAATCTTCAGCTTGGAGGTGTAAAAGGGAGCAATGAATGGGCAGGAGAGAGTGCTTCTGTGTATACCATAGATAATTATCTTTTGAAAGACTGCCTGTAGTAAATTGCAAAATGCATCTTATAAAATAAACAGAATGTATTTATGTAAAAATGTACACGCTTTCTCCAATATTTCCAGGTTGGTGATGACAAAACAGTGAAGCAGTGGAAAATGGAGAGCCCAGAATATGGAGAAGAGGAGCCAATTCATACAATTCTTGGAAAGGTAGTAAACCTAAGTTTTGATTTCTGCCCCCCTCTTCTCCCATCTCTTTTTTTGAATTGTTTGAAGCAATTCTTATCTAGCTTTTGGAGAAGAGACAAACAGTTTGGTACCACCTGTTATCATAATGATATGTTGTAAGGTGATGGCATGAAATTTTATAACGGCACTTTTAAAGTTTCTGTTGCGTTTATTTTACATATAAGCAGAAAGGAAAATCTCTGATGTCATCAGAGACTGCTTAGATCTATCTTTACTAGTCATCCCTTTCCTGTGAATTGGTCAGATCTTTCCGAGTCTCCTCTTCAGACCTGTTGTCAGTGCTTAGTCTGCGTGACATAGCTTTGTTTTCATGGCAATACCTTGCAGCCATTCAATACAAAATTTTAACTTTATGCCTTTCTTTTTGACAAAAGCAGATTAAAAATATGTACTTCAGCACTTTTTATTATAAGCTTATTTTAAGAACATTAAATGCTTTTTTGTAAATAGTTTGAAACTCTTCAATTACTGTAACATCAGTGGAATCTCTTCAGGTCACCATGGAAAATTTCTAAGTACCCTTTAAATTTCCCTTTGCTTTAAAGTCAGCCAGGTCTTTGTAAATGGGCTTCTAATGCTGACTTCATTTAAATTAACAAGAATTGAATGCATGCATTTTAAGTGAATATATGGGAAGCTAGTCTTTCGTGTAAAAGTGTATCTGGTAGCAGTGGTGACTTGGTTTTATTAATTTATATTACTGAAAGCCATGGTAGACTTGATATGCAATGATTTGTTGGTCTTTTTTATAAAAGAACATACTTCCATATTTAAGTATACAATTACTTTTATAAATTGTTCTGGTTTGGTTTTGTTTTTTCTTTTAAAGACAGTTTATACAGGAATTGATCACCACTGGAAGGAAGCCGTTTTTGCTACCTGTGGCCAGCAAGTGGACATTTGGGATGAACAAAGGACAAGTCCCATGTGCTCTCTGACATGGGGTTTTGATAGCATAAGCAGTGTAAAATTCAATCCCATTGAGGTAATGTTTCTGTTATATATTGGAAATCAGTATTTTTCTTGATCACTGTAAGATCTAAACTGTTAACACCATCTTTAATGGCCTTTTCCAAATATAGATTTTGATATATCTTTTAACATAATATGTAGGGGGGTGTATAAATTTTTTTTTTATTTATGCCTATATTGCTTTGGAATGTAGTACCATGTGATTTCATCTTTTTATCTTTTGTCTCTGTTAGTGGGGGAGAGGAGGAAGAAAAGTAGGGTGGTCTCCATTCTGCCCACAGCAGTACAGACCCCATACTGTGTAGTGGTTATGTGGCTGTGGAGCTCTTGTCTGTTCCAGTACTGCGCTCCCTGTAACCAATTCTTCTTACTCTCTCTATGGCAAAACCATTGCATTTGATTTTCTGCAGTAGTTCCTATGTGTATCTTGGCTGGGCTGTGTTCATAGATGAAGTGTTTATGAGGAAATTGCTTGTTAATTTTGAAGTAGAGAGGACTGGGTAGATTCTGAATCTTATAGGGGCAGCTATTTAAACTGTGCCGAATAATTAGGTGCACAGAAAGAATGATAAATGTATTTCCTTGACTGAAAAAGGAACTATTTCACTACCAGCTTTGTGGAACTGCTGAGGTATCTAGTGTGAGCTGTTAACCATATTTTATTTATTTTATAAGTGTTAAGAAGAGCATACACACTGTTTTTGTTGTTTTGTTTTTTAGACATACCTTTTGGGAAGCTGTGCTTCTGACAGAAATATTGTGCTATATGATATGAGAAAATCAACTCCATTAAAGAAGGTAATCTTTTTAACAGAAGCTGATGGCACTAATAAGCATACTAAATATGAAAGTAGTCTGTAACTGTTGGTGGTTTAGTGGTGGTCTTGGCAGTCCTGGAATAATGGTTGGACTTTATGATCTTAAAGGTCTTTTCCAACCTAGTTGATTCAATGATTCTATGAGGGTAGAGAAAGGGAAGCTCTGAACTGTGAGTTCTCTGAGTTTTCGTTGTCTAATATTGAGTCTTTTAACTGAGTTGCTGGGATTTAAACCATGCAGAGTTAGAAGGGCCTTTTTCTGCATTCAAATGGGCTGTCAGGCTCACTGTTGTAATTCTTGATACAAGTGCCTGACCTGACAGCAATTTCACAATAAGAACTTTATGTTCCTGTGTTGTGTTCTGTCTATGTGTGATTTTTTTTTTTTTCCCTCTAATTATTATTCTTTTTCTCTGCCTTGCCAAAAGGAAACAAAGTAACTTTTAAGGCATTTCCTTTCCACCATAGGGAAACGTTACTTTGCCTTTGAAAAGGTGTTCTGCTCTTACATGGGGATAAACCCTCCCTATGCACATAGTAAAAACATTCAGAAATCCTTTGCAGTAGAATCAAAATTGTATTTATATGCAGAATTTACCAATGACATGACGATTCTTCTTTATCTTTAAGAGAAAGTATGTCTTTATTTAAAACAAGAAGCCAGTAATTCATATTAACCTTGATCAAATTCAGTAGTTAGGAAACCCAGAACTATCTTTAACAGTTTTCTTCTTGAAAAACAATATTCTGGCTTGTGAATATACACTCAATATCCTTCTAGTATGTTGTGAACTGTTGGCAATTACACTGGTCTGATACACACTAGAACACTATAATGGTACTTTAAGTTGGCTATAGAACAGGAATATTGTTGGCATAACAATATTTCTTTCTCCCTGTTCCCCAACAATTTTTCATGAAGTTTCATTTGGTCCACTGAGACAATGCTTATAAAAATTCTCAGTGATACCAGTTGGAGGCTCGAAATGAAAACAGCCAGTGAGGTAGATCTTGTAACTAACTTGTACTTGAAAGTTACAAGATCAAGTTAAAAGAGTGTAGCTGGAGCCTTTGTGAATTAAGTTTGATGCTAACAGAATTTTACCTATGTATATATGCTAAATATATAAAAGTATACATACATGTCTGCACATACATTATTTGTATATTTTCTGCTATAGGAGTAAAATGTAGATTAACACTTCTACTAGGAAATGAGGAATTACAGAGAATGAGAATCATCATAATATGCACACACTCATAAAATCACAATTTTCTTGGGGCAAGGGGTTCAGTAAAGATAGTAATATTAATTTGCTTTGAGATCATTTTCATTATTGTGTAAGTTTCTAACTGTCCAACTGTGTTTTCTTATATGTATGTAAATCTGTGGTGTTTGGTCTAGAAAGCTGAGAACAAAAATGAGTTTTGAGTACCTTAGCATTAAACACCCAAATTTCAGGATTTTCAGGTAGGATTATGACAGGTTTGGAGCATTGTGGAAAATCTGGTTTAGAGTTGTTCAGTTTGTTACTAAGTTGCTCTGTATACATATACTTTTTGTCAGGCGTAATGTATGGGATTTGTTTTTAAGTGGTTGAAAGCGCCTCCAGGACCCAGCAGAAGCTGAAGCTGTTGTGTTGTATGGGGTGTCATGACCTCCACCCTGCCTCCCCTTCTATCACAGGGGCCCAGTTGTTAGTGCCACAGCTGTCCTACAAGGTGGGGACATCCACATACAGCTTCTTGGTACTTCTTGTCTATCTAGTCCACTGTTAGCAAAGTAGAAGGGTGCTGTTATACTGTCTTCAGTGTAGCCTTCCTCCTACTTCAAGGCAAACTGCCCTCTTCGTAGCCATATGCTAACTAACAGCAAGCGAATTTTATGAATGTATAGCAAAAGATGCACTGCTAGCACAGTGATAATGGTAAGTAGATTACAACACAGTAGCTTCTGCATTATTGCATGGCACTTGAACAAGGAATGGCAACTGTCTTGGAGAATTCATGAACTGCAATTTCAAAGATAAAATAATGAAGTGATAGTAGTAAGTGGAGGATATCAGAGTGTTGTAATAGCTTTGCAAATTCTGGTTTGTATTGTCAATTAATGACTGTATCCCTTGAAATAACCATTTAATTAGTTGCGTTTACATTTCTTACCTAAAGTTTCCTATAAATGTGATGGAAAAGTGAAATTTTTGAGAAGTTCCAGGTTTATGTGTTGACCACTAATGTATTTATGTTGTTTACATGTTAAATGACCACTTAGAAGAATTTGCTCTTACAATGACTTACAGAGGAAAATTTAATTGCTGTGTAGCACAAGTGAGCGTATAATGAGGGGTGGGAAGTTCTTGAGTTCCAATTCTAACATGAAAAGAAAATACTCTGTCATGTCACTATTCTTCTGCCATAATTCTGTAAAGTAGTTGTCTCCGGTGGTGTAGGAAGTTTTGAACTACAGCAAGTATTTTACTGCCTGTAACAAGGTAGCGATGTGTAAATATCTTTCAGGTTATCTTGAACATGAGGACGAATACACTGTGTTGGAACCCTATGGAAGCTTTCATTTTTACTGCAGCAAATGAAGATTACAAGTAAGTGTGACTGTGATAATCCTGATCGTGTTATGTTTTTAATCTGTATCTTGGTGATTTATCATCATGTTAAAACAAATATTTAAAAAAACTGTTTTAAATTTGGATCACAACTAATAATGCTGAGAATTATAGTCTCTGTTGTATAAGAAAAAGAGTTGATAGTAGACTGCCTCTTTCTCTGTATTTCAGTACCTGGGTAACTTAAAAAAAATGGAACTGAACCAGTGCAAGCGTAACTTGCAATGGGACCTGGAAAATAAGTACTGTTGGTCCAGTCTGAGGCAATATAAGTGTTTATTTTCTTGTCAGCTCTTGTAAAGCTTGATATATTGTACTGACCATGTATTTTGATGAGAACATTTCTTAAAAAAAGCCCCACCAAAAAATAACAACAACCAAAAAAAAAAAAAAACCCACCCAAAAAACCCCAAACAAAGCTGCAAACTTTTGTGAAACAGTTCTGGAATCTGCAATACTTAATCCTTTCAGTGTCTCACAGCAGTTTTTTACTTTTGAACAATACTATTCATGTGAACAGCTAATCTGATATTGAAAAAGCTGTTGATGTATTTATTTTAAAGCTTATATACTTTCGATATGCGCTTTCTTGAATCACCTGTTATGGTGCATATGGATCATGTGTCTGCTGTTCTTGATGTGGATTATTCACCCACTGGGAAGGAGTTTGTCTCTGCCAGCTTTGATAAGTCTATCCGCATTTTTCCTGTAGACAAAGGTCACAGCAGGTGAGTGATTTTATACCTTTCTCTCTTGTGTCATTCATTCCAGTGACCTTCTTCCCTAGTCCTCAAAATTCTTAATTAGTACATTCATATCGTCTTTGGGACATTCACTTCCTGTGAATATTGAACCATTACTCTGTATATAATTTGAGATTGATGGGTCGCGTAGTTGACAGATAATTCTGGAGTATGTATTAGAGTAGATGTCCTGGGTTCAGCTACAGCAGTCATTTTTTCTCCTTAGTAGCTGGTGCAGTGCTGTGTTTTTGACTTTCAGTCTGGGAACAATGCTGATAACACCGATGTTTTTAGTTGTTGCTCAGTAATGTTTACTCTGACCAAGGACTTTCTCAGTCTCATGCTTTGCCAGAGAGGAGGGGAAGCCGGGAGGAAGCAGAGGCAGGACACCTGACCCAAACTGGCCAAAGGGGTATTCCATACCACAGCATGTCATGCCCAGTATAGAAACTGGGGGGAGTTACCCGGAAGGCCAGATCGCTGCTCGGGTCGGGCTGGGTAGCGGTCGGCGGGTGGTGAGCGGTTGTGTCCTTTTCCCTTGTTATTCCTCTTATCATTATTATTGGTAGCAGTAGTGGTTTGTATTATACCTTAGTTACTGGAGAGCTGTTATCTCAACCCGTGGGAGTTACATTCCTCCAATTCTCCTCCCCATCCCTCCGGGAGCGGGGGGAGGAAGGAAAAGGGGGGGAGTGAGCGAGCGGCTGCGTGGTTCCAAGTTGCCGGCTGGGCTTAAACCACGACAGTAGAACTTCGACTTAATGGATAGCAGCACTTGGGCAGTTTTGAATTGAAATCATGGAGGGCTGTTCTTGTTGGGTGTACTCATTTGTGTTTCACCAAGATGAAGCCCATCTTATTTCCCTCGCTCTATATCTTTAATGTTTTTAGGTCACTTTGTATGGTATTTGTCACCACTTGAAGTTTGCAGTGCCTTACATCATTGTAGCATTTGGCTTTCTAGGCGCTGTCTTCATCCTATATGGAAGGTTTTACACGAAAAGCATTGTTGTATGACCCTGAAGATCAGTTTGAGACATGCTTGTGATCTGTTTCAGTACACTTATTACCCTTTGTTCATATTTTGTTAACTGGGCTTTGTTTCATTTGACAATGCTTTGAATACAGTTCACTTTGAATTAGTTTTTCATGTGATATTTCTTAAGGCAGTGTATTAAATATTTTGCTGAAGTTCAGATTGGACCTACTGTGTGTCTTTTTTCTTTTTTTTTTTTTCCCCCCCACTCCAGTTTGATGAAAATTGAAGCAAGTTATCAGATCTGCCTGGTATCATTTGTTCTTCATAAACCTACCTTCGTTATCCTCTGTTGTCAGTTCTTTCTTTTTTTTTTTTTTTTCTCCTTCTTCTTTATTCTTAACTTTATTTTACTTCTAGTTGTCTTCCTCTCTCCAACCTTGGTCCCTCCAAAAGTTGCTACTAAAGCCAGCTCTGTGTGGTTTGAGGGGTGGCAATGTTGAAATACTGATTAGGGGAGGAGTATATTTTTATTATTGATGCAGTTATGTATGCATTATTCACTCTAACTGTTCGTATGCTCCTATACTGCACTAAAGATTGAGAGGGGCTGTTTACGTTTTCCTTTATATCTAATCTACAGGTAGCTTTCATTCTTCCTGTCTTGCAATAGTATTTTAAGCGTAATAAGGTATTGCAGTTTCTTCGTGGGTTTAGTTTGTACTATGGTTAGCAGCTCCCATGTTCTATAGATTTTCCTTTCTGTGGAATAGTAATGTTCACAAAAGTGATGATCTGCAAGGTTAAAGCACATCATTGAGGGGAAGTTTGCAGACCCCAAAATGCCCCAGGGAAAGGCCTTATTCTACATTGTAGCAGATAGCTGCCAAGGCCTTTGGAAGGAATTTTCCTCTTTGTCCACACTTCTCCCCCTTTCTCTGTGCAATGGCCATAAATCTGTGGCCAAGATATGGCCAAGTAAAAGCCTTACAGATGAAGAGCTCAGCCTTGTATAAGCTGACTGGGTTTCTGTGACACTTAAAATTCTTTAGAAGCTGGGCTTTTTCAGAATTGCACAGTTGAAATTAATCCCATGGAATAGAAAAAAGTCTCTAAATGGAAAATCTGATCCCATTTGTAAACCTGAGAAGGCAGTAAAGTATCTATAAACAGGGATCTCAGCAGTATTCCAGTTTTGACTTTTGATCTCCTGCCAATTTGAAAAACTCTTAACTTTCATTGCTTTCTATTTTGTTTTAAAATGAATATTTAAATTGAGAAATTGATTAGCCACAAGAAATAGGGTTTATTATGAAGTTAAATTAAATTTAGTAAATTCTTGGTAAAGAGAACCAGATGTATGTGTGCATTTTTTAAAATGACAGATCAAGTTTATTTGGCCATGTTTTGTGTTTTCCTTTTCCTGAAGAATGATACTAACTTGTGATGACAGCAACAGGAGAGACTGAAAATGTGGAGTAAGGAAAGGAAAAGTACTTTGTTCACCAGAGATGGGCGAAGAAAAGTTTTGTTATTGAAGGAAATAGTAAATTGAAAGTAAACGTAGAAACGCTTATGAAAATGCGTACGTGCACACACGCTATTAAACATCAGCATCAGTAAATGATATGTGTTATTCTTTAGCTATTTACTGTGATTTCTATGAAAGCACTTACTTAAAAAGTATCTTATCTTAGAGGGTCCTTTGTCAGTCTCGCCATCACATTTTGTTTGAATCTCTCTAGATAGATTTAAGATCAGCACAGTGTTTAAAAAAGTCAGATTTTTAAAAAAATAAGAACAAAGTGAGAAATTAATGTTGCCTTCAACAGAATGCTTTCTGCTATTTGAAAGGAAATGTTGGTAAGAAAAGTGATCACTTGAAAATGTTTCTCTGCTTTAGGGAGGTGTATCATACAAAACGAATGCAGCACGTCATCACAGTAAAATGGACTTCAGATAACAAATACATTCTTTGTGGCTCAGATGAGATGAATATTCGCCTGTGGAAAGCTAATGCTTCGGAAAAACTGGGAGTGGTAAGAGTTGCAATTTGCTTTTTGTTGTAACAGGATGTTTGGGGTTTTTTTGTTGTTATTACAACTGGTTATCCTATTCAACTGGTAAAATATTTCTAATGGGAAAATGTAAAACTGTAGTTTGATGTTTGTATTTAATTTGAAAACTGACATGCGTAGCACAGCTCATTGCATTTACTGCAGCTTATATTAAGCTTATATATAAAATTAAATGCCTCACTGCTACACAAGGTCATTTTTGTGGGTTTTGGTCTTGTTTAATGTTAACAATGGTAATCAGTTCTAACTAAACTAGATTTGAGTTTTTACCTGGGTGCTACAGGTGAGAATTCATCCCTTTGCACTAGAGAAAAAACAAGTCTTCTCATTTGCCATGCACACGTCATTCTGTTGAAGTTTGGAGTTACTACTTCCCAAAAGTTTGAGTGGCACGCGACCGGTTCATGTGCAGTTTGTACCATGATAAGCATATACACTGTAAAATAGTCCATTTGCATCAATGCATAACTGAAATTGTGCTTAATCTGTATTACTCTCAGATATCAAGTGGGCAAAGTAGTGTGGAGTTTGAGATCCGTTTAATTCAATTTAAGCCAGTTTGAAGTGTTCCTAGGAGGAACAGACATCAGTTTAATTAGATACATGTCTTTACAGTTACACTTGTTCAAATGTTTATGTATAGACAAAGCCAAAATGTCCTATTACGGTTACCACTTGCATATATTCATCTGCAGTTGTGTTAAAGCACTGAATGACTTTGGAGAATGAATTTGACACTTTGTCCACTGGAATAATCCCCTTATGTAGCTTATATTGTTATGATATTTTGGAGCTGCTTGCATTGCTTTTTCTGAGGCCATCAGCGTAGCTGTCAAGTAATGCTTGGGGGAATTTCTTCTTGATCTTGTGAAAGATTGAGGAGAGAGGAACAGGGAGCTGTATTTCACAGAAGAATGTTGTAGGGGCTGGATCTATTGCACAGTTATGTCTAGGGCTGCTTGTGATTACCTGAAGCTCCATCAGATTATAGTATCTGTGTAGGAGGGATGTGGAGTGGAGCTGGGAGAGGTGACAGGTGAATGGGAGTGCTAGGAGTACTTACGGCTACAGTAAGGAATGGAGTAGTTCATGGACTATTGTGTACTGTGAAGCACTGGATTTGAAGTAGCTCAGCTAAACCAACGTGTATCTTTAGCCATGGCCCACCGTAGGTCTCTCATCTTTGCAGCAGAGCTATAGATAAAAAGCCCTGACAACTTTGTAGCCTGTACAGTATTTGTAGTTACAGACTACTATTTAAATTTAATTTCTGTAATGAAATAATGAAATAACTTTTTGTTGAGTATGCTATCATTTTTTTCTGTTCTGACTTGATTTGTGGAATCCCATGGCAGGGGTGTTGAAATTAGATGATATGTAAGGTCCCTTCCAATCCAAACCATTCTATGATTTTCCCATATAGTGCTTCAGTTAGCCATTTATGGGATTGAATATTGATCTAAATAAGATATTGGCTTAAACTGATATTGACTTAATATTGAAATAAAGAGAATAAACATCCAGGCTGCTATAGTTGTTGTTAAATTTTATTATTTTTTTTTTTAGAAGCACTATGATATTTTATTTTTCAGATGTTTAGAGCGTAATTGTTGCTAATAGGACTTAAGAGTGGAATCTTTACGCTTTATGACATTCTTGGATATACCTTGGAAATGTTGCTTGGATTCAGGCAACTGTGCCAATCCTTGTTCCACCCAACCTGATAGCTCTGTGGTTCTTAATGTCAGAACTATTAACGGCTATTTATCAGGTTCCACTATTTTTCTTTACCTGCTCCTTCTTTTTTAGGATTGGTGTTCTTATCTTCATAGACACATGCTTGCTCATTTTATAAATGTCCAGTTCTTCCCTAGTCTGTGGCTATTTTTTGAACATTTTGAATATTCAAGGCTGAACATTCAGTAATTCTGTCGGAAGTGTCAGAATGTCTTAAATGCTTAGTTGCTTAGTCTGCTATTTTTCTTTGCTGAGAAGATTTGATTGAATGACTCATCCAAAGGTCACTGTATTTCTGTTATAATGCTAACATCTTGTAATACATTGTATTTTAAGATGGATATTTTTGGGGTGGGGGTGGATGGAAACTGGTATCCTAAAAGAAGAACGGTAATCAAACGTTTTTTTCTTTGCTAAGTACTTAGTCTTACTTAGTCTTACTTGGGTTTAGTATTGCTGGGTTCCAAGGAAGTTACAGTAAATACGTATGTACGTTGTGACCGATGAACATTTTTCCAGTTGGAAAGTTGTACTTTCTGAACCATGGCTACCCTAGTTAGCAGTCATCAGTTCTGACATGCATGTTTCTTTTGGTTTTTAATGTATTTGGCATTGCACTCATTATTAAAAATCAGTGAAACATTAGAGTAAGAATAAAAGTCTCTGGAGGAGCCAGAGGCATGCTATGTCTCCACTACACTGACAATTAAGTCTGCATGGGTTTTACAGAGGGGTAGCAGAACCCATATCTTTCTGTTGGAGGTACTGCAGAAGTTGCTTTAAAATATTTTACAACATTTTTTTCTTTAATAGAAGTTGATAAAATAATAAATAATTATTGCATAGGAGTTAAAACAGATGTTATTTTTAAAGCAGTAAACATCCAGCTCTGCATGTCCGGAAGCAAAAGACTAAATTAAACAAGCTTTTTAAGATACTCCAGACTGTTCAAATCATAAAATATGATGTTAAGTATGTTTGAGCTCTTGGAATACCTTGAGTACCTGTGCTCTTGGAGAGGTCTGGGATTTCCGAAAAGATAAAGGACTTTGGCTTCTGAAGAAAAGAGGAACACACAGCCTCGTCTGAGTGAAAAAGCTGGAAAAGCAGCAGTATAGATTTCAGTTACTAGTAGAATTAACATACATAAGGAGATAGATTGCGTTTTCTGAATTGTAGTGAAAGCAATAAACCATCAATGAAACTTCAGTAAGCTGGACTGTTCTTCAATTTATTGACACATAAAAAAAATCTACACCTGCAGTTGTGTAAATGCTTAGTAACACATTACTTCTGTGAGTAACAGCTGCAAAATTTGGCTCTTATATTTCCAGAGTAGTTAGGAATTAGAACAGAGCACTGGACAACTGAAGAAGAAGAAAACCTTCCACTTGGGAATGATTTGCATTTCAGCAGGTGTAGAACTAGTGTGAGGAGAGAGTGTAACAGTAGTGGAGCATAGGTTTACTGCTTTCTTACAAGATGCAGAAATAACAGCTTTTGAGTAAGGACTGAAAAAGATAGGAGAAAGTGCAGTTATAAGTCTTGGTTTTGATCTAGCAAAGTGCATTAGCAGGAGTGCATCGAAACTCTGTAAGTAATTGTATATCCTTTCAGCCTGTTTCTAGTATCCAATTCCATTTTGTGAGATAAGGCTGATAACCAGCAGTACCAGATACTGTATGGCATGGCATTCTTTTCATAGTGGTTTTGGGTTTGTGATTCAATGCGCATGTAACTTCATCCCTTGAACTATGGTTTAGTGCCCTTAATATCTACATCACCTTTCTTTTTTTGTCATCTGTGTAGGTGTGAAGAAGCCGTAATTTTTGATCTAAGGAAATAATGAGAAATAAACTTGATGTCAATAAATTTAGAAAGGTGTTTTCAGCAGAGCAATGGAAAGAATCAAATAAAGACAAGATATGGGGTAGAAAACTGCTGGGTTACATTTGCATTCTAAAAATATGTTGTATCTGTGTTCTGTCTGCCCTAGCCTAGAAAGGCAACCTGGACAGGGTAGATAAACACCCATTTTGTATTCTCATGCTGAATGACAGGAGTCTAATAGTGTGGAGTTTTAAATACAGCAGAGTACAAATACAATCCTCTTTAAAAGCAGAAATTTTTGTTAAAGGTGGGTTTAACTGTTCAATCAGGGCTCTGGAAAAATGCTTACTTTCCCAGCTTAGGTGGGAAAAATAACCAGCCTCTAGCATCAGGAGGGAGGAATGAGACACAGGCAGTTTACTCGAGGACACATTCTCCCATTGCTGACAACTTAGTTGCATTTTAGAGTTAGTTTTCCCCTTTTTTCATTCTAGATCTTTGCTGTGAAGTACTACTGTGGTGATGGTACAAATCAGCTGTCTTTCTGCTGCATGATGTCTGTTTCCCTCACATAGGAAGGAAGTTGCACATTCACTTTTGGAATGTATGAAAAAAGGGTCATATGTAATCTTTGAGCAAGTCTCCCACACATGATGTCATATAAATCCTAATTTATTATATTATAAAGGGTTCTAGTCCCTTTAAACAAAATCTTTAATCCTGCTAAATCATTCTCTGTTTATGGCATCTTCTCCAGCTCACACCAGAATGGGAAGTAACACTGTTCTCTTCAGCTGTTTACACTGACCTTTGTAAAATGACTTGCAAGAGAGAAGTTGGAATTCAGCGTGTTATTGCAGTCTGCTTTCTTAGCTATCTGCCATCTCTCATAAATAGACAGAAACTTGTCATTACTGCAGAGTTTTCTTTTACCATCATGATGAGAGTGCAGTTAGCAGAGCCTGCTGTATGGGGTGTTGGCATTTGGTAGCTGGACAGTAAGTCACCAGCGACGTGGTTTTCTATACGCCTAAGCTTTCTATACATTACACATAAAAATTGAATCAAAACAGAGCTACCTTAAACTATATTAATTTTTAAGATATCCTGGTTATATCTTTAATTTACAGATTCACCTCTTGTCTGTAGAATCATCAAGGTTATATTAAATCAGCAGCAATTTGCTCTTCTTAAATTAAAGGAAAATCATTGCATTTAATTAAAATAAAAGCTCTTTAATTTGGATTATGTTGGCAGTTTTCAGCAGAGAGGGAACACTTGGGATTTATTGAGAGTGAACCAGCTATTTAGGTTGGCTCAGTATAAGGAATTTCAATAAAGAGCAGGGAGGTGTATCGTTTTAGTGGGTTAAGATTGTAAAATTTATTCACTTGCCATATGACAGGTCATGATAAATGTAAGTAAAGAATTTTTTTTTTTCGAGTAAGAGGGTGTGGAGAAGCAGAGGGTAAGAGCATTATGTTTTCTGATGCCTGAGTAAGAATTTTCTGAGCGATGAGCAGCTCTGCATCTGGTACCTGGTTTCTTTATTGTCCCAAAGGAGAAACTCCTTCGCTGTGTGTTTTGTTAATACTTGCTTTCAGACCATTAATGGTATTTCAGACCAACATTATCTGAGTGTGATACTTATTTTTTCAGAATTCATGGAATATTCTAACAGAAGTCACTTCTGTTCCAAAGTGGAGAAGAAATAGCCAATTGCTGATTTCAAAGGGGGGAAAAAAGCATATTTCATGATAACGTGATTTCCAAACTTGTGTGTGTGCAATAAAATTGTTAGTTCTGTTACTGCTTTGTTGTTGTTGTTGTTGTTTGTTTGTGTTAGCATTTGAAACTCAGGTTCTGTTTTTCTTGAGAAAGTAGGAAATTAGTGAAACTGAGTAATTTCCAAAGCTGAATAAATAAAAGTTATCTGAAATACTGATTTGCTTTTAATACTTTAGGTGCAGTTAGTAATGGATGAAATAAATGTGGGAGGGCAAAAGACTTGTGCCACTGCTTGTTTGAAAATATGAAGGGCTTTAAGATGTCTGAAATATTGGATTTATAGAGCTTGTTTTGGGCAGGAGGGTAGAAGGAAGCAAATAAGATTATAATCTGTTAATATTTCATATTAACAGATTTTCTGTTTATATGAAAGCTCACTAGTCTGAAAGGCAACTGAAATTGAGACATCTGAGCAATCCAAAATACATACAGACTGATGCTCCTTGTGAATCAGTGAATGCTTTAAACAGAAACACAGCACATGCTGATTTTTATTTTTTTCTTTTGATAGATGTGCATTATGACCAAAGGAAACATGCCTAGTTGTAAAAAAAAAAATAAATATCTGTATCTCCTGTGTAGGTTAGCTCTCAGGAAAAGGCATTTCTCATTTTCAGTGTTGATGGTGGCTCAGACATAATTTTAAACATGAATAAAATTAAGTCTTCTGGGTTAATACTAGCTTACCTGTCTTTCATGTGTTTGTGATACTAAGATTTTTAGCTGCATGATGGAAGCTGGGACTCCCAGTGTGCCGTATAGTCAAGCTAATACTTGAAATGTGGTATGTGCACTGTGATATGCTTCCTAATGGATCAAGGTACTGGGTAAGATTTAGGCCACTTAAAGAGCTGTCTGTAAAGCTGTTCATGAACACAGTTAATTTATAGCATATGTACTTACACTGGCTAGTCATTAAAATGCCTCCATATCTTTGTTTTGCAGCAGAAGTTGGTCATTAGCAGAGGCTAGGAAAGCAGGCAGGCTGATCAAAGAGTTTTTACTGTCAGCTATTTCTATTCTCTTGTTTCTTTACAGCATGTCAATATCTCATTTTCAGGGAGCAAATTCAGTTCCTTCACTGAACTTTGGAACTTTGTTAATGTTTTGTGTTTGAGCATAGGGGTATTGTTGAAATTGTAGGGTTTTAATACTTACCTATCCTAATGCTGAAGTTCCTGTGGTTACAGCCATTTGATGGGAGGAAGCCATCTGAGTTAAAAGTTAAAATTTAAACAGGACAGTTAATTCCCTGTTGTTTTATAACACGCTTGTTTGTGGTGTTTTCCCCACAGCTTGCACCACGAGAGAAAGCAGCTATGAATTACAATCAGAAGCTGAAAGAGAAGTTCCAGTATCACCCAAAGATCAGGCGCATAGCTCAACACCGTCACTTGCCTAAAAGTATATTTTGCCAAATCAAGGAGCAGCGTATTATGAGAGAAGCTCGTCGGCGAAAGTATGTGTTCCTCTCATGGCTGTGTTTTCTGTCAATCTTCAGAAAATGCATCACCACAGTGCTGGAGCGAGTTACAGAGCTACAGTGTGTGGGAGGAACAAGTTTGAGCTACTTTTAACATCTGAATAAGTGATAATGAACTACTGGATTGATTAACCTTTGATTATAAGGAAAATGCAGACAAGTGCCAGTGGGGACTGGTTGCTTCCCAAAAGTACAGTGAGGAAACAGGAGCAAATACCATAGAATCATAGAATAGTTAGGGTTGGAAAGGACCTTAAGATCATCTAGTTCCAACCCCCCTGCACACACTAAAGTATGTCACCCAAGGCTCTGTTCAACCTGGCCTTGAACACCACCAGGGTCGGAGCATTCACAACTTCCTTGGGCAACCTATTCCAGTGCCTCACCACCCTCACTGTAAAGAACTTCTTCCTTATATCTAACCTAAATTTGCCCTGTTTAAGTCCCTGGAAGGGACCACAGTGTTTTGTTAAGCATGACATTACACAACAGTGGGCTGGTTTGGCTGTGGGGGTTTTTTTGGTTGACATGAAAACCAAGTAAGCTGAGCTCCCAGGAAAAGCCTTGGCTTGCAACTTAGTAAAGTTAGCCAATTTTAAAGTTATTTTTCAAAGGAACAGTCCGTCTTCTTACAGGATGAATAGGTGGCTTTTAATAAAAGCAAAGCAGTTCTTAATTTCTTTTTCTTTCTTTTTGAGATCTCCATTGGTGGCTTAAGGAGGAAGCTAGTATTGGTTAAATCTTTGTGCTGAACACTGAACTTCTTTTTTCTGTTTTTTTGTTTCTAGGGAACTGAATCGTCGTAAGCACAGCAAACCAGGATCTGTGCCACTTGTGTCAGAGAGGAAGAAACATATTGTGGCAGTAGTGAAATAATTGTTTTCACATGTACAAAATCTCACAGTGAAAGACAATGTCACTGTTGAATGAATCCGTTATAGAAAATTTGGTGGACATTGGTAAGACACCGTATAACTTCAGAAATGTGGCTTTTCTTCCAAGTATACACATGCCCTGATTCCTCAAGTCATCATCTGCCTTGGGTCGTCATAAGAATTGGCCATGTAATCTTTTATTGCCATTGGACTGTCTGCTACTGGTCCAAGACTGTATTGCAGGGGAGTTTGACTATTTTGATACAAGCAGATAACATGGTAGTTGTTGGAGGATATCTGTAGTTCCAATCCTGTTCCTCTGTACCGTTATTAGAAAAGAAGAATGAAATAGATTCAGATTTGTCAGAGGCAAAAAAACTTCATTCCATAGAGTTATAGAATCAGTTGTCCTTACACTTTGGGTTTGGGGGTTTTTTTGGTTGGTTCTTTTTTTTTGTTTTGGTTTTGTTTTGTTTTGTTGGTTTTTTTGTTATTGTTTAGTTTTACACAAATCTAATAAAGTAGACAAGTGACCTTAAGGCAATTGACCAGATTTTGATTATTCCAGCTGACAAATATACTGCATTATACTCAGTAAGATATATTATTTTTCTTTTATCCAAAAAGAATTCAACAGGATTCTCAGACATCTGTAAACATATTTATAGTTTTGTTCTGTCTTCTTAACTGTCACATGACTCGACAAAGCTTCAGACTGTTGAAGTTGCTAATATTAATAATGACATAATGATCCAATCCTTTTCTGTTCAACGATTTAATACTTTTAAAATCTGGATGAACGATGACATAAATTGTATAAAACACAAACTTCTTCAGGTGAGATTTATTACAAGCCTCTATTTTAAGTTTATATAAGAAAAATAAAAGTACACATTTCACAAGGTGTTTGTAGCCCTAAGTTCTTTTACTGTTTGTCTGGGAAATGCTCTGCTTGTCTTCCAGTGGGATAGACTTCACTTTTTACTGAAGATACTACAATTATCAGAAAATTATGCTGCAATTCAACAAGACCTTCTAGGCTGAAGGCTTTTCTTACAGAAATCTGGGATAACATGATGTTGCTTAACGTCTTCCATACTAAAGGATTTTTTGAGCCTTTGCACTACTCTGCAGTCTCTAACTACACTCCCCCCACCCCCTGCCATGAGTTTATGTGCAAAAAAATTTACAAACTACAAACTCAATTAGAATAAACTTTGTAGTTTAAATTCTTTTTCTTTTTAATCTGGAAATTGAGCACTTCGAGCACCTGCCTTCCTACAGCATCCTGTTCAGTGTATCTACTGACACTAACATCCATATGCATTTCTAGGTCTTAATCTTTCACTTGTCTCTTCCAGCACTATTTGGGCAAGATTCCTGGATCATTATGGCAAAATTACGGCTGTTTGGTGGTAAGAGGCCATAATGTATCTTTTACTCTCTGGATCACTTACCTTATGGGGTGATGCAGGAAAAGAAGCAGATCTGAAGAGCTATAAGTAGGATGACAAGAAGCAGTGGAACAGATCAGGGAATAGACTGATGCTGGCTGTGTGCCTGTTGTACTAATACAGTGCGCTCTGTGCCAAATACAGTTTATTTCCTTCCGGAAGCACTGAGAAAATTGAGGGAGAATGTGCGGTCCCAAGTATGGCTTGTGACACAGCTGTAGTCAAGTCTTGCACAATTTGCAAAACCAGACTAATCTTCTGGAACATGATTACAATTTTTCAGCCTTGTCAGTTTAGCTTGAGTTGATGTAGTTGGTTGTTATTTGTTGAGTCATGATAACCTCTGGTGTGAACAAGTCCTGCTAGCTGGAATTTACTAGCTTTGGTGCAGAACTCTGAAGCAACTAGAGAGCTTTCAGTTCTGAAGTTAAGTTTGGTTACAATGTGGTTTTGGTGTGGATGGAGCTCTGCTGCATGAGCCATATCCAAAGGACCTCTTCATGTTCAAAGACCTTTGTGCACTATTGGTTCAGATAGGCCTGCAGGTAGAGCAGCTCAAAGGATTGGGGTCAGCTAAAAATATTGCTAGAGAGATCGTAATAGCTTGCTGAAAAAGGGAATTTTAAAGTTAGGAGGGTACTTGGAGGCTGTGTATTTGGGTATGAATTCCTTTTCCAAATTCAGTGGATATAATCTTATACAGAGATCTTTGTCTTGTCTTGTTATCAAGTGGGGCACCCTCTCAGCATTCCAGGAAAAAGTCTGTTTTCCATAATCAAGTCTTTGCTACTTACAGAAACATGTTAGTTGTAAAACCAGTGTAGGCATGGGCTGGGGCTTTCTGGTTGGAAGTCAGTCATTTGGAATTTTACAATTGGTGTTCACAGTCTGTTCAGAGGATCCCTGGCCATGGATTTGCACACTGTGAGGCAAGCTGCTGTTGATTGTCCCTTTTGGAAACCCTTACAGTTGCTCTCCAACACTTTTTGTGGCTAGCTACCAAAAGTACATAATGGCACAATACTCAGTAAGGTTTTCAAACTTACTTTTTTAAATAGAGCAGTTACCAAGCTGTAGCTCTGCTTGCCAGAAGTGCTCCTATAGGTCTGTCACAGGCCATCACTGACATGGTTTAGAAATTACATTAAAAGAGATGAAGCTCTTAATTTATATATTTTTGTGTGTGTGTGTGTGGTTTGTTTTTATTTTTTCCTCTTGCTGGATTGAGCTGTGTCATCAGGCCTTATCTTCCCTTAAAGGAGTTACCTAGATTTATTGAAATCATTTTGAAATCATTATATGCAGAGACGTTACAGATAGCTGCATCTGCCTGTATGTGTACCCAAGTGTATGTAGAATAAAATCCTTAGCATCGCAGAAGATACTGAAAATACAAGGAAACTGTTAATGATTGCCTTAGAAATTTTGTTGTGGTTGATTGAGAGGAGGAAAAATAAAAGCGGGGGAGATGATTGACAGTTTTCTAAACCAAATGCAGTGGCTACATACCCACTGGTTAAAAAAGCGAACTTCTGTATATATTTGTACTTCAGGAAGATCTTTAAAGACTGTTTTGAAACAGAAATAACTTCTTTAATACAGAAGTATTTATATGCATATTCATAGCCTTGGTGAGTTTTAGCTGTTTCATGATAAAGATCTATGGAGTCATCAACATTTAATTCCTGTTTTATCATAGCTAAACTGCCACTCGGTTTCTGAGGTGTGTATGGAAACAGATAAAAATGGTAGACCAACTAAAAGAATCCCACAGGAGTGTTTTTGCCAGTGTCCATGTGGGTGGTATTACTTTGTTCATGGTGGCAGAATCCCCTGGCCTATGGGACTGGGGCAGTTTTTCTTCAGTTTGGGTCTCTGGTAGGTGCTGTGAGGCAGTGACTTGCATCCAGTCTCTCTCTCCCAGTTGCTGGCCCTTAGACCCTCGAGTCCCTCCAACATGGGGTCCTGCTCCAGCGGCTCATACTTCTTCCTACTGTCCCGCTCGTGGGCTAGTCCCACTTGAAGTTTGCTGGCAGTGACACGTACACATTGAAACACACAAGATCTGGCGCAATAGGGTGTAGTAATACCAGATGAGCCGCAGTGATGAAGTGCCAGGATCATGCATTGAAGTGGAACTGGTAAGCTGTCTGCATGGGACTTAGCCCCCTTTATCCTATTTGTCCTTGTTTTTTCCTTGCTTGTTTCTTTCCAGTCTACCTTAGTCCCTCCCTTCACACACTTTTGGTGCTACCCTTAAACATCCTTTCAGAAGTTTTGTATGTTGCTGTAAGCTCCTTAAAAAAAAATCTCATAATAAATTTTACATGATCCCTAAATTCTATCTGTTTGGTCCCTAAATTCTCACCCCCATGTATTCTGTAAGAAGTGTTACACCATTTAGGTAATCCCTCAATTTGCTCAGCTTTCTAGGTAGTTTCCCACACTTGCTTTAGTGGGTTTGGCACCAGGACCAATGATCTGAATCAATTTCCTTTGATGGATTTAGGACTAGTGAGTCAGTGTGCTT